AGCACAGGCATGCGCTATATTTAACGCAGGCCCATGCTATTTTTAACACAGGACTGACTATTCGTGTCCCGAAGTCGGGACTGTCCCAGTCCGGTGCTATTTTATTCGCAGTCCCACGCTAATTTTAGCACATGCCCGCGCTATATTTAGCGCAGGCCCATGCTATTTTTAGCCCGGGACAGACTGTTCGTGTCCCAAAGTCGGGACTGTCCCAGTCCCGCGCTAATTTTAGCGCAGGCTTGTGCTCATTTTAGCACAGGCCTGTGCTATTTTTGGCCCAAAGACTGCTGCACTTCGCCCGACAACCTGGCCTCTCTATTATAAAAGAGAGGCCGTGCCACTCAAGAAGAGAGAGAGAAGCCCTCACTTGCGGGAATGCGGAACCACTGGCGGAACAACAGGGAGGAATGAGGACCGGAGCTGCTGCGCTGGAGCAAGTAGAAGGAGCAAGACCAAGGCAAGCAAGAGGGAGGTAAAGGGGTGGGGCTGCTCGAGGAAGCAAGGCGGTCCTGGTTCCCACTAGGGCCATTGCCTTCTCCCCTGCCTCCTCTCCTACCTCTCTCTCTCTTTGCTCCTTTCGCTCCCCCTCTTCTTTCTCCCTCTCCCTACTCATTTCCGTCATTTTTCTTATTCAAGCCGGTCGCTCATGCGTAGGCCCCTTTTACTTTCTTCTCGTACCCATTTATTTTATTTTCTGTGCGTGCCCATTTAATTTTTGCATTCACCCAGGCACAACCTGGCTGCCTAAACACCTGCCCCTAGTGTGTGGCCAAACTTGATTAAGATGGATGTGTGTCCAGTGCACTGGCAGGTTTTTAGCTGCACGCTGCTGGCTGGGTCGTACCACCCCTCTCGGCACACTTGCTGACTGTCTTGCACGTTAACAGTTGCGTGCCCGATAGCTGCAAAGCGCTGGCATCACTAGTATGTTCGTTCCCTCATCAATAACCCTTGCGTCCCTGCGTGTGATGTTGGTCATCGGGATCCGCGCCCACCGCTGCGCGTGCCATTGCTGTATTAGGGAACCACATGCCCACACGCACTGTGCTTGAGGGCCATTGCTGAACACGGAAACCGTGCGCTCGCGCGCGCTGTACCTGGGGGATGATTTGAAACTCGAGTGTGCATACTCAAGCACACTGATCTCAGGATCAATTTCGAACCAGCGTGCCAGTGGGCACTCAATCTGAGTATAATGATCCAGTGTGCCAGTGGGCACTCAATCTGAGTATAATAATCCAGTGTGCCAGTGGGCACTCAATCTGAGTAAAATGATCCAGTGTGCCAGTGGGCACTCAATCTAAGTATAATGATCTAGTGTGCCAGTGGGCATTCAATCTGAGTATAATGATCCAGCGTGCCAGTGGACACTCAACCTGAATATAATGCTTGATCGATTTCGGATCAGCGTGCCCATGGACACTCAATCTGTGTATAATGCAGAGTCGATTTCCAGACCAGCGTGCCAATAGGCACTCAATCCCAGTTCGGTGCTTGCTGGCTCAATGATTGGAACATGCACTGCAGATCAGGACTGCGCACTAGTACGGTGCTCGATGGCTCAATGATTGGAATTTGCACTGCAGATCAGGACTGCACACCAGTAAGGTGCTCGCAGGCTTAATGATTGGAACCCGCCCACAGGTCGGGACTGCGCACATGTACGATGCTCGCAGTCTTAATGATCGAAACTTGCCCACAGATCAGGGTTGCGCACCAGTAAGGTGGTCGCTGGTTTATTGATTGGAGCCTTGCCTACAGATTGGGATTGCGCACCAGCACCGTGCTCTCTGGCTCGTTGACTGAGATTTCATCCACTGACCAGTATTATACATTCGTGCGTTGAAGCCGATGCTCGCCAGATTCAATACGATAATAATGCAACACTGTGGACTGGATCCAACGTTCACATTCAGTCCGGTAATGCTGGACTGCTGTGTGGGTCGTGCCTCCATTTAGCACGATAAAGTTGAACTGTGTTGTGTGGACTGTGGTACCTTGGCCTAAGCGAAGGTTAAGTGGAACCCTCAACTGCTCGGCAGCGTTAGAGTTATTTTTATTTTATTATGCGACCGGCAGTTCTTTTGCTGGTCACGCACGTTGTGGACTGTGGTACCTTGGCCTTAAGTGAAGGCTAAGTGGAACCCTCAACTGCTGGGCACAGTGAGGGTTAATTTTTATTTTATTATGCGACCAGCAGTTCTTTTGCTGGTCACGTACGTTGTGGACTGTGTTTAGAGTTTCCACTCAATGCGGTAATGCTGGACTGCGGTAAAATATGGATTGTGCTCAGTGTCCGCACTCAATGCAGTAATGCTCGACTGCGGTAAAATATGGGCCGTGTTTAGTGTTTCCACTCAATGCGGTAATGCAGGACCATTGTAGATGTTGGACTGTGTTCGCACTTAGAGTGATAATGATGGCCTGTGTTCGCACTAAAATTTAGTAATGTTGGCCACTTGGGACATCGCAGTATTTTAGTGCGCACAACCAAGTTGTCTAAGTGCGCGCCCAAGCTCGGGCAAGTTGTCTGAGTGCGCGCCCAAGCTCGGGCAAGTTGTCCGAGTGCCMGCCCAGGCTCGRGCAAGTTGTCTGAGTGCGCRCCCAGGTTCGGGC